ACCTGCCCCCAGCGGGGTGGGGGGGCGCTCCTCAGCTGCGGGGTGTTGCTTTTAGCAAACCTAGCAGCTCTTACCATATTTCTCACATATAATGTACACACCAGTTTCCAGCAGAGTGTCTTTTTTTTGGGGTGGGGGGAGTGTGTGTTTTATGCGACGAAATCAGGTACTATCGTGTTTCGTCAGGCGGCTCGATGGAAGGAGAAGGGTGGCTGTCCTCTAGCAAGTGGTGGGAGTTGCACATTGCTAAGGGTTTGAAGGCTGGGCCAGCAGACTTAAGCTTAGATGGTCAGGACAGATGGCAAACCCATACCTGCTCGGGGCGGGAGGGCCGCGGATCCCCTGCCCTCAGATCTCCCGTGTAGGAATGGGGGAGCACCCACGCGCGTATCTGAGCAGGGCTTCATAGGCACTCCAGAGGGTTACAGCCGTTTGCAGCTGAACGTACGTTTGCCACCATCACCGAGGGGACAGTCAAAGAGAGGATGGGGACTCCCAGCTGTTGAAGAACTAGGGTAATTCAGGCTAGGGACAGACATTCAACAAGCCTGAGCCTGAACTGATTCAATCTTTGCAGGTTAGGCTAACCTGGCTAGGCTGAACTGGTTTGTAAGCGTACAGACGTTAACTCTGGACTGAGGAAATTCAGGCACATGCCTGCAGTGGCTCAGGCTAGAAGCCGGGGGGCGGGGGGCGGCTAGATTAGCCCTCCCTTCTCTTCCACTATGCTGAGCTAAGTGGGGTGTGGCCAGGCCTGGGCAGGCTGAGTATGACTGGGGAGAGGTTTAAACCCCCACCCTGGTCTTCAGGGACCCCAGCCGGGGTCTGCCTGGCTTTTCCCCCCTGCTTGGGGCTCAGCATGGCCCGGGACCCCCAGAGTCACCCTCCCAGCCAGGGGGCAATCCCGCTGCACCTTCCCAGCTGCTGGGGCCAGGATCTTGCTTGCAGCAGTGCAGGAGCAAAAGCCAGATTGGGGGAAGGGAGGGGAACAAAACAGCCCCAAGCCCAAATGGGGACATGCGCAGAAGGATCCCCCCCCACCCCCGCTTCCTGATCAGTGATGGAGCCAGCAGGGAGTTGCACAGCATTTACTTACACAGCAGGGAGTTACACAGTGTTTATCAGCCCATCAAGAAAACAAAAGCCTCTCTCATTAGTTCAAGCTCTTAATTTAGTTCCAAAAGCCCTAAGCAGACACTGTCCTGTCTGCCTTACACAGACACCTCTCAACATTAGCTAGCATACCATATACTGGCTACAATCCATGCTGTGGCAGAGGGAGCAGCATCTGGGTTGCTGGGGGAGTCTGGTTTAACTTATACCAGCAAGGGGTCTAGGACAGACATTGCATAAACCAGTTTGACCCAAATCAGTTAAAAGTCTGATACTACATTCAACCAGGTTTATCTCAAGCCGGTTTCAGCCATTTTCAAATGGGTTTATGTGCACTGAACGTCTGTTCTGTTACAGGTTTAAACCAGTTTCTGGTCACTTAAACCGGTTTATGTGTAATGTCTGTCCCTAGCCCAAAAGTCAAGATTTCAAGGCATTATATTCAATTAAATATAAAGGCTAATGCAGAGGGACTGACGACTGTATGTTACAGGGGTGCTCAATGTTCAGCCCACGGCTTTCCATGGGTTGGGAAATTTAGCCAAATTCCCAAACCCCAAACCCTGCACGGCTCATTGGAGCTGGGCTGCACTCTCTCCCCACAACAGGTCTGGCCTATGCCCCTTCCTGCCCACATCTGGATTGGACCTGCCACCCACCTCCCTCCGCACACCCGCATGGAGCCCGCAGTGCCCATGATGGGTCCCATATAGGGACCATTGGCTAGATTCAGACCATGGACAAAAGAGGCACTGTCCATCTGCCCCACTGGGGAACAAGACTGAGCATCACTGATATATTAGGATCCTGGAATGAATGAGGATTGTTGAGTTGAGTTGCTAGCAGTTGAAGATGATTTACTGTTTTTCTGCCTACACTGTCATTTTCAGGGTTTCACAATGTCATCTCAGCAGGGAAGAAGAGTAGATGTGTGGAAAGGAACAGGGGTCTGGCATTCTCCTGGAACTACTTCTTACAGCCAAGAAACACAGGAGCTCCTGAAAGGTAATGGGAGGGTGGTGTGGAGTTGAGAACACAAGGGAGGCCATAAGTCTTTTGAGACTGCTGTCTTGCTTCCTGTCTTGTTGCATTGTATTTTGTGTAGGTTTTTGTATAACGCTCACCGTGGTTGTATGCGGATCTGACTGTTATTCCATGTGTTGCAGGCATATATGCATTCAGAAAAAAAATCCCTGTCAACCTCAAACATTTCACTACATACACAATACTCCCTCTAGGTGTGAGGAGAGAAAATGGACCACTCATGAGAAATGTTATTTATATTGCTTAATGCACTGCTGGAAGACATACAGATGCTACAAGTGGTAAAAGAAACTGCACGGAATAGAGAGAGCTCTACTAGCCCATGCTGCTTAAACTGCCTTTCCTATACCCACTCACTCATCTTGCTTCCTCTTCCCATTCATATCAAACCCAGAGACTGTTTCTGTTCCATCTTTCTCTCTCGTGGTAACACACAAGCTGTTTTAACTCCCCCTGACCTAAGTAAAGGCATTGCTTTTTCTCCATAGCTATGCCATTCTGCACCCTTCCCTTTCTTGGTGAATGCAACCTCTTGCCTCATGTTTAGTCTGCAAGCTTTTCAGGCCAGGGACAGTCTTCTGTATATGTCTTGTAAAGTGTCTGTCTAATCCAACCAGTTTATCTGTCTCTCTGTCTTACATAACACCCATCACCAAGGATACTTACGGATGCTGGCACATACTAAGTAATAACCCACTTTTGTAACCCTTCTTCAACAGTTGCCAAAGCGAAAGGCAAAAATCTCGTTATTGCAGTTAATCAGTTAAAAGATAATGACTGATGGCTCCCTTGATTCTCTCTCTTTCTCACTTCTGTCACTGCAAAGCCTGGTATCATTTGCTTCCAAACCTGGGAGAAATTTTACCTCCACCCGACCTTCTGTACCATTTTAAAGCCAAAGCTGATTTTTCTTTGGAGACAACTGCCTCTTGGCTTTATAGTGGAAACATAAAAGTTTAAACCTTACCTTATGTGAAGAGGCCTTTCTCCAGTGACCATCATATATGCTTTCTTGAAACTTTTGAAACAGTTTGTGTCAGTAATAGCTCACAACAGAATTCTACAAGCTAATTAGTTGCAGTGAAAAAATCATTCCCTTTGCTCTCACTGTATATTTGCCGTTTTTTTTAATTGTGTTCTGATTGGAAATGGTAGATGGAAATCAGGAGCCTCTAATTTTTACAATCAAGGCACTTTCATTAGGGGCATAAATCTGGATTAGAAATTAGTTGGATTAAATATGGATTAGTTGTTTAAAGTGGGCAGATAATTCCACAGGCCAGAGGTGTTGTATACTGGTTGGACCTTTACTGATGGTTCTTGTGTTTCAGTGATGATGCGGGAATGCAGACTTACTAATTTCCAGAAACGCCACCTTATGGACTGCATAAAACGTGAGTGATGTCTGTTTTCCTTGCTCACACCCACACCTACACACTCTATCTTGTGCAGGTTTCTTAATAACCTGTTCCTAATCCTTTTAGCCATGTTTCAGCTGCTGTGGTGAAGAATTCAGAGTAGTGGAGAATTCAGTGAATAATTCACCTCTGATGAGATGCATAGATCCAAAAATTAAAGCAAGGAGCAAATGCTTTGAAGCAAATGCTTTCTTTCCAGAAAGCATTTGCCTGTAAATGGGAGAAGAGGCACAAAAGCCCACTGGCAAGAAATGGCAGTAGAGAAATGTCTTTCTTTTCTACATTAGGCACAGCTCGGGTATTTCCATCTCCATCTCATACAGAGACAGTGAAATCAGCCCAGGGAATGGGACATAGTTCTGATGCTCCCACAGGTCACAGCACAACACTAACCCTTGCCTTTCTACAGACCTGGGATTTTTGCCAAAGATGTCTAGAGCTGTTATCAAGCTGCAGACCCCTCTGTGTCTGACATACTAGTGTCTTTCCTTCTTTCCCCAGGAGGTGATGCTCTGCCCATCCACTGCAACCCAACCTCCAGCAAAAGGCCAGAGCTTGCAAAGCCCACTTCTTCTCCACCAAAGCCTTGTCTGCCAGTGAGCTTGCTGGCTAGACCCCATCTCCGACCTGCCAAGGCCTGCCAGGCAGGCAATGCCTACACCCGAGATAAATTCAAACCAAAGGTCACTCGTAAGTGAGCAAGCCCTGCTCAGGGATAAGTCTCTCTGCTAAGTCCCTCCCTTCATCTCACTTTCTCCCTTTTTTTTTTGCTCCTTCATTAGTAGGTGGCCCTCACCTCTTTTATCTTATCCCAGTCCTGCCTGCTGGCTGGGAGCCTAAGGTGATTCGTTGGTGGGGGCTTGCTTTAATTTTTGTCAAGGTAGTTTTGCCATACCATGCAGCTTACACATTTGCATCACTGATGCAAGCGTTGCTGGGCTTTTTGCTGTGAACACAATATAAATACTGCAAGCACTGTACTGCATGGTAATACTTAAGACACCAACAGAAAGGGTGGCTAGCCATTTAAATCATACAAACACTGCCAAAATGCCATTGATTTCAATACTAACAGTACTGCTTAAGCAGAGTGCAGCATGTCTGCCAATTTCTGTGGGGACAGCAACCTCTCAGCTGCTCACCTCATTAAGTCTTCTTACCTTGTTACCAGGAATACCATGCCTCTAATAGCAGGCTTGAAATTCATAGGCTGTAGGAGTTGCAAGGCTGGTAATGGCACTGGCATCATGTGATTTGGGCTAAAAGGGTTGGCTTTCTACTCTTCGTGTCAGGCAAATTCCTGGTCCATACAATCATAGCAGGGTTGGAAGGAACCTCAGGAGGTTGCATCTGGTCCACCCTCCTGCTCCAGGCAGGATCAGCAGTCTCTCTAAACCATCCTACTCATGTGTTTTTCTAACCTTTTCCTAAAGCTGCCTGAAGAACCTTTTTGAACAATTAGCAGACACAGTGCCCCAAAACCACCAATACCCTAACCTGTTGGGTAAAGCAAAGGGATGAGGGCACTGTCAGTTGCCAAATAAGGTTGCTTTATGGGGCTTAGACTGATGGTATGGGAATGCACTGCCATATGCATGATATTTCCCAAGCTGTTATTTATATAGAAACTGTATGTGGCTAGGCCTTGCATTCAGTAGGCCCTTGGTGGAGAGACAGCACTGCTGTCTCAGTTCTCTAGTGACTTGCATTTTGGGCTTCCACAGGAGACTTGGAGAGGGAAAAGCAAAGGCTCCAGAACATCTTGGCAACTGGGAACGACAAGGAGGAACACAAACCACAGCAGAAGCCAGTGCAGAAAAAGGAGGAGATACCTGAACCTGACCGGTTTGAAGAATGTACATAAGAAATAGGCTGGGGCACAAGAGTTGGCTCTTGACTAGATGCAGGGGGTCAGGATATGTGTCCCTGTAATCTCACCTTTATTGGGGCAGGTGGAACATCGCTTTTGGCCTCCTCTCTGCCAGAGAAGATTTGCTACCCCTGTCCATCCGTTTAGTGGAGACACTGCGTATACCAGCAAGAGAGGCTTTGGCAGACCTAACTGGCACCGATTCCCTGAAATGAAGAAGCTGAGGCCTGTCAGCAGCATGGTGCTATTGTGTGTGTAAAACACACACACTGGCAGTAGCAGTGGCTGTGGGGGCTCTAGGGAAAGGGTTCCCAGTGCTGGCAGGTTGCTCTTACCAGGTGTTGTTGTAATTAGGTGCTGACTACTGATAAAAGGGCTTGGTGATTCATAGGAGAAATTCAAGCGAAAAGCCCAGTTATTTTTTTGGTGGTATAACTGCATGCAGACTAGGGTCATTGCCAGCATAGCTGTGTCGGTCAGGCTGCGTTGCTTTCACACTTCTAACCAAGCTATCCCAGTAAGACTTAAGTGATGACCAGACCTTTGGTGAAACATTGCTCTTTTTTGCCATGCAGGTTCTTCTAGAGTGGCAGAGTCTTGCCTATGATTTCCCTGGGCACTGAATAAGCTCTACCTCCCTCCTGCCAGACTAGCCTACATATGAATTGAGCTTGACATCCTGGGAAGAAAGAGAGAGGAATGGCACTTGTATCTTTAAATGCATGACCACAGTGATAGGGGCCATGCAGCTGTCATTCTAGAGATTGTCTCTATCCTTTCGAGGCTTTTGTTCTAAGAGGGCTGGGAAGGCGGGGGAGGGTTGCAGAGTTAACTAATAATGCTGCATTCCCACTTTTGATTCCTGCTTCCGTATCGCTTGCTCTGGTGCTCAGTGGTGAATGAAATTCAAGAGAGGAAGGAGTTCCTGGAGGAGATGGTGGCTCTGGGACAGGACAGGAAGTACCGAGGGATCATTCTCACTGAAATCTCGCAGGTACCTTAGAAACCTCTCTGGTGTCTGCAGGAGGAACCCAAATGATAGAGAATCTCAGACCCAGGATAGGTGTAACATTTCTCCTGGTGTATGAAAGTAAGAGACAGATGATGCAGACCCATAAATGGGGTAACTGCTCCTCTGATGGAAAAATCACCCCTAAAAGAACTGGGGAAAACTCTGCAAGTGTATGTTATGCTGATTTAGATTTTGTCTGTTCACATCCATCTGGAGGGAGTTGAAGGAACAAAGACTCTTGAGCTGTTCCTGTGCTGCCTAAGTGTCAAGAGTAATAGTCACCCACTGTGCACAGGTACTTCTGGATAACTGTATGTCTGTCCATTGCTGATCTGAGTGCAATTTACATCAGAATAGAACCCTGGTATCTGTACACCAGGTATATGTTAGTCTAGGACCTGAATGTTAAGATCTGTATCTACTGACTGGAACTGGGGAGAGGGGAGGGGACAGAGAACCCACTTTCTTTTTCATGAGATGATGTAGAGAGACATTTATTTTTTTAGTGGAGGGTAGTGGGAAGAAGGAGGGTAGAAGAAGCAGCTGAGGTGAGAGTCTTTCAAGCCCCTTCCTTATTTCAGTATGTAATTTAATAGAAGATCCCTCCAACCTTACATGTGGCAGGAAATAACAGCTCTTGGCATTCTTACTAGCTCAGCTCTTTCCTTGTTCTGTGCAGAAACTGCGGGAGATGGAGATCATTGACAAGAACAGGAACAAGGAAGCAAGAGAGGCAATGGCTACAAACCTTCCTGTAGGGAGCCAGTCTGATTCCCAGAGCTAGGCTACGAATGCAGAGCATTCCCACCCATTCTTTCCTTGGTCTTCCAGCAACTTTTGGAAGGTCAGAAACTGGCCTGAACCTGTCCATCTATAGCAGATGCTCTGGAAGAAACATCAGTGCCACCTGCTGCATAGAGCCAAGCATAGGGCAGGGACGTTATGGATAGCATAGGAGAAAGACTTTGTAAAATCTTCTCCACTTACTAGCCTTCTTTCTCCATGGGTGCATTTTGTAGTAGAGTGTTAGATGCCTGGGGACCTCAATCAGGGAATCAGAATTTTGTCGTGTGAAGCCACAGGAGATGAAGACCAGTGATGCTGCAGTGACCTTTGAAATAGAATAAAGGAAGGCCCCCTTCCACCTTCTATATACACCCTAAGGGGGCAGGACACAGCTTTCCTGCAGAACAGGCACCCAGATGGAAAATACCTTTTCTATAATCCTTGGGGGAAGGAATCTGCGGTTATTTCTGTACGTTAGTATATTACCTCCACCCACATTAGCCTGCATTACCACTTCTGTCAGTACAACTCTGGAAAGAAACCATGTCAACTGCTACCACATAGCTGACAAGGACCAACCATGTGGACTCACATAAATACAAACCTTGAATTTGAACATAAATACAAACCCTGAATTTGACAGTACCACAGTTCAGTGAGATTTCGTGTATATGGGACCTCCTCTCCTCCTCAGCCAATGAAATGTGCAGGCTCAGGTAGGCTGCTGTGCTGGGTTGGGAAAGAGGAGGTATGCCACTCAGGCTTCACAGCTTGGGAAGGTCTTAGCTCAATGGTCCCTTGTCCTTTCTGAAGCATCTTAACACAGAATAGACACAATCCTGTAGTTGTTTTGGGGGAGGCAAGATGTTTGTAGAGAATGGCCAGATAAGACCACGGGGTCATCTGGTGTGATGCCCAGGATAATAAAAACTCCAAGAATTTCATCCAGCTACTTCTGAATTGACACCAGTTTAGGGAGTCCTTTCAGTGGGTCTCTGAATCCTCAGTCTCCTCCCTTCCTTTGCTTCAGGCACTCAGCCTGCCTATACACATACTTGGGGGTGGGCTGGGGCCATTTTAATTAGAGCAGTTCTTGGACAGCAGCTAATCAAAACGGCTCACCATCACATGTATTAAGCCCCTGCATGTTTCAGAACTGCTGTAGGATGCTTTATCTAAGGCTCATTCGATGAGGTATAGATGAGGTATAGATAAAGTGTCCCTGCAGCCATTTTTAAACGTGCAGGGGCTTAATACATGTGATGGTGAGGTGATGCTGGAGTTTTCCAATTAGAATGCGGAGCAGACTAGATTAATCGAGTCTGCTCCAACACATTCCAATTAGAACGTGAATGAGCATGTCTGTCAGCAACCTCAGCTACTTGTCTGTGTGCTTCTGTGAACCTCCATAAGAGGGCAGCCTGAAAGTTGGGGCTCAGACCTGAAACCCTGCAGCAACGCAAGCGCAGGACACGCTAAGGAAGATAAGGCAGCAGCATATACGTAACTCCAACATTTTATTTTTCTGCAGATGAATGGAAATCCCAGAGTTAGTACAGTGTAATAATTTATAAATCAAAATACCAATGAGGAAGGGGGAGTCAGGCTGCAGCAATCCCAATGGCCTTTGGCAACAGTGACTTGACAGCAGGCTGCAAAGCCTGTCAGTTTGCTTTGCTTTGGAGGGGATGTGCAGTGAGCTCTCCCCTCTAGCCACTTCTCCTGGCTCAGCCAGTTGGGGGTTGCCAGGGTGAGAATGGGAGTGCCTTTCCATTGCCAGGGGGCCAAGCATCCTGCCCCCACCAATAGTGGCAGCCCCAGGAGCCATGGTGAACTCAGATCCCTCAGCGTTCTTGTAAACAGGGATCCCTTTATAAAAACAGGCACCGGCAATGGGCCAAGACACTGCTGGAAATGAGTATGGTTTGGATGAAGCCCACAGGATCTGGAGACGGGACTGCAGCAGTTTGCTCTGGGCTGGTAGTCTACTCTGCTAAGGAGAAGGCAAGACAAACAGCTGACCAACTGACACCCACAAGACTCCATGTCTAACTCAGACCAATCAAACAATTCAATAAATAGCATCTCTCCTCTGAGGAGAAGGCAGAAGAAAGAAGGGAGGATGGGAAGAGCACTCTACACACACACAAACAAATGAAGGTTTTAAAAAGCAGGGAAGGGAGTTGGATTTCATCTTGGAAAGACTACCAAACTTCCTTTGCAATCTTTAAAAGTATATACAGGCAAAGCCAGCGCACGCCCAGGGATCCCTATCCCATTTCCCACACTGGCTGAGGGTGGCCCCAGCGAGCAGCTAACCAGATAATTTCACTGGTGCTGAATAGTCTTGTACTTCTCTTCCCTCCCCTGGGTAAGGAATGTGCCTCCCCTCCCAGAAAAGGCAGCAGAGTGGGTCTAGTTAGCAGCATCAGGGAGGGTTAGATGCCCTGAGTGGGATAACTCAGCTACAGCCAGTGGACCTCAAGTAGTCCCATCCCTTTACGTGCTGCCTGTGGCCCTGGAATTGATCCCTATCAGCCTGGAGGCTCCTGGGGTGTCTGCCCCCAGTGCTGCAGGGAGCTCAGAACAGGGCACTTTTTGTTTTCTTTTTTGGTTATTTGTTTAGGACCTTGTAACACAGGAATGTTTCCTGAATTGTAGTTTATGCCAATTAAATGACAACCCTGTGTGCACACACCCAGAGCTTCAAACACAACATGGCTAGGAGAATTTAGACAGCAAAGGAAAGAGCTGGAGGTCAGGGAGGGATAGCTAGGTCCACTGGCCCCAAGGCAGTGGGTACGAGGCACATGTGACTATCACAGTTAGAGGGAGAGGTGAGGGCCATTAGTGCAAGTTTCCCATAAACCCCCAAATCCTTTCCTTGCTGTTCGTGCATACATAGACACACACAACAGGGTAACATATCTCCTAAAGCTTTTCATCCTCTTCCCCCCCCACCAAGGGTTTGTGTGTGGAGGGGAGGGAACACAGTAGCTTTTTCCCTCAGGGCAGCTCCCCACAGTATGAGGAAAGGGGAGCACAGTTGATCAGACCCGCCATGCCTCTCCCCCATTTGGGCAGACCCACATCTGTGGCTGAAAAACTGACTGAGCTCCCACAGGGGGAAGCCAGTGTTGGGACTGCTTGGGGACGATGAGCAGGGAGGCACAGCTTCAGGGGTGGCAGCCCCTTTGGCAGGGATCCGGCCAGCTGCAGGGAAAGCTGACGGGCAGCAGTGGATCCACCCTCGCTTCTGGCCTTCTCCTGCTCTAGGTCTTTTCCTTGGGTGACTTGCTCTTTGACTCCTGTTTGTTGCCAAGCAGCTTGAGCACCTTCAGGGGTTTGAACTTTCCTTTCTTCTTGCCCTCAGCCTCAGCTTCCTTGTGAAATTCTGCAGGAGAAGTGCCATAGGAGGTTATTGCCTACAGGATGGGGCCCATGGATGATGCACACACGCTGCTGCCTACAAGCCCCACTCCCCACGTAACTGAGACTGCAGCATGAGTTCCCCTGGGAGCTGAGGACAGTCACACATTTGACCAACTTTCTGCCCTAAAAGTACTGTGATGCCCTTGACTCCTTGAACACAAGCACAGAGCAATGCTGACATATATAATACATCAGAACATTCCCAAATGGCTCTCTGCACTCCTCTGTGGGGAGAGGATGAGAATGTGTGACAGGCATTCACACCACTTCAGGCACTACCAAAAGGTGCAGTATGAGAACTTATACAGAACAGGATAAATCCCAAGCCAAACACCCCCACCCCCGCAAAAACACTTTTATACGTGTTCCAGGGGGGGCAGCACTTTAATTAGAGCTGTTCTGAGAGCTGCTCTAATTAAAAGCACCCCAGCATCTCATGTATCAGCATCCCTGCACTTAAAAATGGTGGCAGGGGCACTTGAGCTAAAGTACCCCCACCACCATCTTTAAGTGCAGGGAGACTGATATGTGAGACACAGGAGGCTGCTGGAGCATGATAGTTACCATGTTCCAGCAGACTCAATCAATCTGCTGCTCCAACGCAGTGTCAGAGCAGTCTCTCCTCTCATGTACAGGCACCCATCTACACTAACTGTTTATTCTGCCCTGTGCTGGGGGGAGAACCAGGACCCTGAAGCCCTCTTCCTCACTTACCTTTCTTTTTAATCATAGCTTCCAACATTTTATCCTCCTCTTCCTCTCTGAAAGAAACAGAAAGAAACTGATGAGAGATTCTATCCCAAAGACATCCACCATAGCATTGGTTCAGGAAAGAGAGCCCCCCCCAGCTCTTAAGCTGTGACAGGAGTGGTGGGGGGTGGGGTCCACCTGTGTCCCATGATTCTTTGCCACATATGCCTGTACCAGGACAGACGTCATTCCAGACAAACTCCTTGCCACCCCCACGAACCATGAACACTGATTCACAGGAACAGGGCCTGGGCAATCATGGGGAAGGTCTGTCAATAACAATAAAACCTCAGAGTCTCTCTCTCTCTAGTGCACATTCCCCGCATCAAGGTGACAGGTGCCATCTTTTCTGTAGTGTCAACTGCATGGGGCAGTGGCATAGTTATGCAGCCGGGTGCCCAGGGCACAGGGGCAGTGGTGACTTCTGGTTGCCACTGTGTCACCAGCATAACCACGTTGCTGTTTTTCACTCACCCCCCCAAAAAGTGTCCAGAGCAGTTGCCCTAGCTGCCCTGCCCTAGTTATACCACTGGACTGGGGTTACAAAGGTAGCCAGGTTTCTAGCTAGATCCCTCGTCCCCTGAGTTACCTTTGCCGATCCTCATCCAAGCAGTTGACAATGGCATTACGTTGTTCAATGATGGTCACCAGCTCTTCCATCAGCACCTTCTCCCTTGCACGGTCCTCCTCTGTCCACTCCTTATCTACAGTCCAAAGAAAGCCCAAGGGATTAAAACAACTCAGCTTCCTCTGAAGCATGGAGCCCCAGGCTGAGAATTAAGCAGTCATACAGGAGACCTGGGTTTGATTCCCATCTGGTCTCATCTGGCAGGACTGGTGTAGTGAGGAGCGCTACAGAGGCTTAGTCCAGCAGGTGGCACCCTGTACCTCTACTGCAGTTCAGACTAAGGGCCTCCGCCTGCCTGGGCCATGCATGTAATCCATGCAGCTGCTCAGGAACTGGGACAAGAAAGGAGTTTCTCATGTTGCTCAACTGTGCAACTTGCAGTCAGGGGAGCACTGAAATTCCTCAAAAAGGGAGTTCTATATAGTCCCCCTCACCCACAGACTCACCACAACCAAGGGTCTATCAGGCACTGGAGAGAGACAGGACCTGCTCCAGATGGTACTCTGCCAGGACAATGAGACTTACCAGGCTTATTGAGAAGGCATCGCAGTTCATACTCCACATCTGCTTGATGTTGCTCCAGGTTCTGCTGCTTAAAACTACAAGGGAAAAGAATTACTACTGCAAAACCACTACATGGCTAAGAGACCCGTCTGTGAGGCAGTGTCTCCTTGTAAGGAAGGCAGGCCCACAGAGGTCAGGCTGGAAATGTATAGCTGCAGCCCCAACCCCACCCAGCAAAAGACAGGTAATCAAGGGGGGCACCAGTCCTAGCTGCAGTCTCGTCTAGTGGGACAGATGTAGGAGTGGTGGCTCCTGGCCTCTTCCAGGAGATGGCACCATAGGAGCTCACACTATGGGGATGCTCCTTTTAGCTAGTTAGTTCTAAGTCCATCTGGACTCAGGGAAAAGGTTGTAATACTCCTTCCACCTCTTGCCAGCCTTGGCCACTTTTTGGGAAGGCTTCAGCTTAACTGAAGAAGTATTGCTAAAGCAGATGCCCCACAGCCTGTTTCTCAATGACTGCCAAGGAACCTTTGCGGTCTTCACAACTAGCCTGGTCAGTACAGTAAAGAAAGCAATTAACCTAGCAAAGGAAGCAAAAAGCCTGACAGGAAACCTCATACAAGAAGACTCTAAAGAAATTTTTATTTGTAATAAATAAATCGATTGTGGTATGTTATAGTGCTAGCTTAAAAATGTTAGTGGTAGTGATTGATTTAATCAAATTATTAGATGTGTGTGTGTGTGTGCACGCATGCGCACACATGCTATAATAGATACATTTCATTAAGTTTCTTAGATAAACTGTAAACACAAAAGCAGCCTTATTAGACAAGACCTCAAACAGAGATTAAAAGCCAACAGGAGGAGGACAAGCAACATTCCAAAATGGTGAAGGAAGGAGGTGAGAAATCATTCCTTCCAAAAAGGAATATTCCCAAGGACAAAATCCCAGCTAACCGACACTTTTCAGGGACACGCCGATCCAGTCTAGCTCTCAGTGAAACAAAAGACATTTAAATAAACCAATGAGATTGTGCTAGAGCAAACCCTGTGTAAATATGTGGTATGAACAGGAGGGAAGATAGGAAAACTCAGGGGATCCATGCAGACCTGCTGCCAGTCTGTGTGCCATCCTCCTTCCTGTCCTGCGTCTCCCCAGGTGGTACTGGTGAGCATCTACCTTGTCCCACTGCAGCTGGTCAAATGGACACTGGGACAAGTGTTTATTCTTGTGCTGTGAGGTGTACACAATACAAGTCCTGGCTACAGACCTGTTCTCCTGCTTGTAAATGTAACCAGCCTACCAGTACACCTGTAATCCAGGGAGCACATCTCCCCAGGGCTGGGATGGGCTCTCTAGGAAAGCATGCTCTAACCTGGGACCAGAGGGACTCTTCCCAGTCCCAGCTGCTGTGCTTCAGGGTGTTCCCCCCTCACTTACATGTAGATGAGCTCAGACTCACGGCGCACCAGCATGTGCTTCTCGTGGATGAGTTTGAACCAGTCCACCAGTAGTGTGTCCTCGGGGCTATCTGCCAATCAAATCCAGCAGAGAAAGAGAGGTCATAGATATTCCCCAAGACCTCCTCTTCCCACTGTGCAGCAGGCCAGGCCAGGCTTGGCCAAGCTGGAATGAGGATGGTTCACTTAGACTCAATCTGCCCTTAGCAAGCTCCTGAATGCAGGGGAGGTGGAAGGCACTAAGAAATTCACTGCTCTTCCCCGCTTTTCTCCCTGAGTGGAACGGTTCTTGGCTCCCCAGGGAGAGGAGGCAATTCTGATCTGCTGCCTCACAGCCCACCATAAGTGGCATGGCCACCCCCTTCCCCTACAGGAGTTTTCTGATCCTTCACTCCAGTGGCAGGTACTGTTGCTACTTCTCCCTCCTCTCTGCCCCCGTCCCCAACAAGGTTGGCACAGCCCTTACAGGAAGAGTTGTAGCTAAGAGAGTAGGACTATCTCACTCCCTGTCCCTTCTCTCACCCCCTAGGCTAGCACAGCCCACCATACCATTCTCTGTGCTGCGGAGTTTTTCTTCCAGTTCCACCCCTCGATGCTCAAGCTCATCCAGCTGGTGTTCAATGGCATCCATCTCTCCGTAGATATCCTCCTCCGGGATGTACTGATCTGCCTGCACCTGCCAAACCACATGGTAGGACACATATTGCCACGGGCCACCACCTCACTATGCAGCTCCCTGGCTTATTTATATGGGGAAAATTAAGCAGCAGAGCCCCCTGTAGTAACCCTGTGCATGGGGATACATAGCTTGGGATATGTGCAAATTAGTCTTTATTCCAGAACAGAACAGCCCCACTGGGAGCTCCCCTACACTAGCAACTGTGGAAGGGCTTATCCTGACATTGCCATTGGGGTCAGTTTCTCCATACAAATGAGCTCTAAACTCCATCGTCTCCAGCACTGTCTGGTAAACACTGTCTCATTCCCTGAGAGGCAGTGGAAAGGTGCAGGAGAGTCACTATGGTCAAGGAGGGCGCCACTCCCATGGGTTAAAGCACTAGATCTCAAGCTTTTCTGGATCACATTCTCCTTTGTAAGATTATTATGGAGCACACCCCTCTGATTCCGATAACTGCAACACTATCACCACAGCCATGCCAGAACCTCTCCAAGAGCCTAGGAGAGGTAGAGCTGCTCTTCATTTTCCCTTTTTCTTTCTTTTTTTTGTTTATATCTTCCCTTTCCCTTCTGTTTCTCCAATCCTTCATCTAGAAATCTGTCATGTCTTGCCAGGGATAATAAATGTAGCTCAGTTAGACATACTATGTCAAAGGTCATCAGAAGAAACCATTTGCTCCTTCCCAAAAAGGCTGTGGGCACTACCAAAGGGACACACTTGTAGCACACCCATAAAAGTCCCTCTCCCTCCATAGCTCACATGACCCCCCACTTCTTGTGGGGGAGGGGTATATGCGAACACCCCTCTAACTCAGAAGCTTCTCTCTGGAAGCCTGGCAACTGCTGTGCCATGGGCTGGATTGGAAGAAAAGGAGGAACCATTTCATTGCCCACTGTGGGGGAGAAGAGACTAGGATGGGACCTGGGGTGCATGGTTCTAGGCAGCCTGGCCAACACACAGGTCCAAACAAACCCACTGATGACCTGGGTCATGTGGTTTCAGCCAGAGGGTAGGCAATGGGCTCTGCACCTGTCACCTGCATCCTGCAACAGCCAGACATGTGTCCCTCCTACCATCAGGGAGGAAAGCCCAGCCTCAGCAGCCAACACAGAAGTGGCACTTGCCCCCTTGCTCTGCCATGCCCTTTACCTTGCGTTTGATCAGTGGAAAGCCATGCCCTGGTGCAGGAGGGCGCACTGGCTTGGATCCCTTCAGGGGCTTCTTGGCTGAGGGGGAAGCAGCCGGTGACAGCTTCCGGTTGAAGGGGTTTTCTTTGCAGGAAGACTGGGAAAGAGATGAGAAAGAGATGACTCTGGGCCCAAGAAGTGATAAAGCTGATCCCAGGGTAGGTTGCAATGGCTAAGCAGACACTCTCTCACAGCACCGCTCCACTGGGAATTGAGCTGCAGTCACTGAGGCGGTTATCTCACTGGTGCATCCAATCCTTGGTCACACTAATCAGCTTTGGAGCTGTAACCCCCCTCAGAGTAGGAGAGGCAGCCCTGTTCATTCTATCCTAGCTAGTGTCCCTCCTGATGCTACATGCCTCTGGATCAATATTTCTCAGCCCCACTAATTTTAATTTCCATGGATACACATCTCTTCAGGTTGATGGTAAGAATCAAGTCTGATATTGGCCATAACCTCTCACTCTCTCAGCACTGTTAGCCACAGGCCATGGACTACTGTACTAAGCTGCTTCCTTCAGTAAGGTTACATGGCAATGAGTTCCACAGCTCTGCTACATCTTGGATGAAAAGCCATTTCCTTTGAGAAGCATTTCCATGTGTTGTGCTTGCAGAATGTACCTCCTCATTCTTATCCCTGAGACAGGCTGAGTAAGAGCATAGCTGCCCTCTAATGACCACATATCCCAACATGCAGATCTGGTCTGCTTCCAGCGGCCATAATACAAGCCAACAACTATGCACCAATGGGGCAAGGACAGCAGCTGTTTTACTGACAGACAGGGCAGAGTCTCACCCAGCATGGGGATTCCAGAGACATGTCAGGAGCCTGGGAAGTCGCCATGTGAGAGCAGGAAGCTGGGCATGGACAGCATGGCTCTCAGCTTTAGCACACAAGGAACAGTGGAAGCCAGTAAGCAGCTGAAGGCCAGAGGCCTCTTAACAGAACCGACTTCCCCTTCCCTTGAGCATCTCTTTCAGGCCTCTATGGAAGAAAAGTATGTTGAGGGGATGGGGAGTTTGGGAGAGAAGGGACCATGGTCCTTGTCTGCACAAGAAAGCACACAAGCCTACCTTCATCAGTGGCTTGGGTGAGGGGGTATTCGTGAGGGCGCCAGCACCCACATCTGAGGCCAACAGGATAGGAGTGGGGCTAGCCCCAGCAGGAGGCTTTGGGGGGAGTCGGCTGGGGCTGGTCTTCAAGTTGCTGGCAGAAGAGCTCCTGCTGGTCTGCAGGGCCCCACTCTGCACTTCCCCGCTGTAGCTGGCCAGCTCACTGGAGGACGAGAAGGAGGAGTTGGTGGAGAGGCTGGCGGGGGCAGCGGGACTCTCACTGGAAGAGACACTGGTGAGTGGGGCATCTGCACTGCAGGTCTTGGAAGCAGTTGGGGTGTGGACCGTGGGCTCGGAGGAGCTCTTTGGCACTGAGCTCTCATCAGCGTCACCAGCAGTCTTGGCTGAACACTCGGAGTTGATGCTTTCAAGGCTGAGGGCAGGAGACGGAGCAGAGGAGGATGGCTCCGAGTGCGAGAGCCTGGAGATGGGATGGTGAACTACAAAGGGAAGGAAGAGGTCAGAGGGGAATAGAGTAGGAGGAGGCCAAACCTCCTACTCCACCCACACGTAGGAGATGCAGGAGATCCCACCAGGAATAAGGATCCTCTGGCGAGTCTCCACCCTTGGGAGTAGGGGGGAGAGAAGCATCTGGAAGTCTCGGTCCCAGTAAAGCCACCATGGAGGGGAGGACTTGTTCTGCCTTATTGGCAGCTGTGGGTGCTGGTAGACAATAGCTTTGGGGCTGCCCATTCTTGCGGGGGAGGAGGCAGTAGCAGCCCCAAGTGGGAGGGCTGAGCACTGTCCTCTCTACCTCCCTGGTTCCTCTCTGGTCTGGGACAGAAGGGGGCTCACCTAGTGGGGAGGCACTGGGTGCTTTTGGCGCTGGCCGCTTCTTCATCTTGGGGCTGCTGGTGGGCGTGATGCCATACCAGGGATGGATGGGTTTCGCTCCACCCTCGCCCTGCTCCTGGTTTGGTGTGCTCTTGGGCATGGCAGCTTCTTCCTCTTCCTCCTCATCCTCAAAGGGGTTATAGGGTTTGGGTTCGCTGCTGTCAGCTCCACTGCTGCTGTCCTTTGCCTTCACCTCTTCCCCATCCTCCTCCTCTGAAGTCCGGCTTGGGGTCTCTCTGCCGCTGCCTGGTGGGGGTGGAGCTGGCTTCTTTTTGGGTTCAGCCTGCACTAACGCAATCCACGGAGGGTTCTTTGTTCTTGCAGAAGCTCCTGATCTAGTTAAAGGGAAGGCCCGAAACAAGGAAGAAAGAATGATGGGAGGGGAAGGTGGGTGGGAAAAAGGAAGCAGGACAGCAGAGGGAATTCACAGAGCATGGACATCTCAAGCAGGGCATCTGAAAAGCCTTCTCCACCACAGGCCTTATCTGGGCACCAAATATTCATACCCAGGAGCAGGCTGGGCCAGACTGGCCTGACACGCTTCTAAGCCAGGGGAGCTAAAACCTGCTAGTCTCACTAATGAGGTTTGGAAGTAGGCCCCTAGGTCTTCATTTCTCCATCTGCCAAAGCAACACTGGGAGCCATTCTGTGAAAAAGTAGTCTTTCTCCCATCCCTTCCTCCTTTCTCCCTCAACAGGGAAGAATAAGTCATCCCTCATGCTCAGCTCAGTGCTGTCAACCACTGGGGGCAGAAGGGCAGCATAAAGTCTTGTCAATGCTTCTGTCACCATGAGTCCTGGTGGGAGACAGCAGCCGCCACAAGGAAGCCACCAGAATGCATGTACACCCCTATGGCGTCTGGCAGCTCCATGCTGCTCCAGCCACAATTGTGTAGCTCTGGGGTGATACGGCATGCAGCACACCTTGGGCAAGCCCAGCGCTGAAGGGATGCAGCAGCTAGTAGGAGGTGCAGAACTCCTTTCAGGCTGGAGGGCTGGTGTGGCCCTGTTGGCAGAAAGTGACAGTGCTGTCACCACAGGGAAGCCACAAGCATGGATGCACCCACAGTTCTGCTGGCAAAACTGTGTAGGGCAGACTAGGCCCGAGCACTGTAAACAGCTCCTTCTGGCTGGGCCTGCTGTTGGGATCCTCACCATCAGCTGAGGTGGGAGAAATGCAGGAGTCTCCCCACTGCAGGAATTACTTTCATCTACCCACTGAATGCAGGAATGTGGCTCCGGGAAGTCCTTCACAGAGCCATTTATCAGCCCATAATCAGACCAAGAAAAAGCCCCAGAGGCCCAATGCCACATCTGCTCACTCAGTCAGGTCAAGGTGCCTCACTCTTTGTACTGCAGTTTCTCTCTCCAAGACATAGGGATAATATGTAGCAGCCCCTGGGAAGCACTCTGAGGGCCCCGCAGGAACCTGCCCGTGCTAGAAGGTTGCACCAAAAGACTAAGCGTTTCCACTGCTGCAGTCGCTGGGGCCAGCCTGGAGAGGGGCTCAGAATATGAGGGCATCCAGGTAGACATCAGTCAGACATGCTCTTTGCCCTCCCCTAGCCCCTTCTTTTGAGAAGCTCAAAGTGCTTTATTTGCCTTAAGAAAGAGTCTTGTAACAACCCCATAAGGCAGAGAGGAGTATTATCAGTTCTGCTGGACAAATTGGGGAAGGGAGGCACCGGGAGGGGACTTGCTGGATCTAAGTCTGGAATAGAACTTGGGTCTCAAGACTCCTCATCCCAGGCCTCACCCACATGGCCCCTCATCCTCCTTGAACGCAGATCGGTTGGGATGGGAGGGGGTGGCAATTTGCAAGCAAAAACACATACCGATCAGAGGACGTGGGTCTCCCTCTTGGTTTTGGGACTGGGGGGCTAGATTCAGGCGCGCTACCTAGAGAGGCAATAGGAAAGAGATGTGCCAGGCAGTTAAAATGCTGGAAAGATGTTAGGAAACAGGTGAATAGCTCAACATGCCTCCTACTTCTGAATAAAGTCCTAGCTTCTCCCACTCTCCCATGAGATCCTCTCAACCTCTGGCAGGTAGAGGTGAATCTCTAAGACCAGGGCCATTACACCTTAGCTGAAAATCCAACCCCCCAAGCAGCTGCCAGCAGGAGAAATAACTCCTCACTCCCACCTGCTCTACATTGTTTTGAACAGCTATCATGCTCTCAGTAGTGGGTGAGTGACCACCCACTGTGCATTCCCTCCCACTGCCTGGGCATCCCCTGTTGGGGTCTGGAGAAATACAAGGGACTAGCAGGGTATGAGGCCTACCTGCACTTATTTCCCACTGAAAGGACTGTGGGTCAGTAAGTGAACCTCGAGTTCAAATGGAGACACCAAGATATCAGTCTGACCCCAGGTGTGTGGTGAGGGGATCTCTCTGGGTCTCATTTGGCAAGACAAGAGACTTTTCTGAACCTTAACCAGCTGCATATAGCCAGAACAACTAGAACGGGTAGCTCCCCACACAACATCCCTGCTCCTTCTTACCATTCACTAGGCTGGGACCCAGTTCAGAGGCCTCACTCTGGATGGATCTGGGTCGCGGGATGGGGTGGGAGTTTGGAGGTGAAAGGGCTGTAGCATCTGCAGCCCTCCGCGGTGCAGGGGTGGGCCGAGGGTCCCGGAGCCGTCCGTCCAGCGGGCTGGCTTTGTCCTGGTTGGCCACTGATGGTTTGATGGGGAGAGGAGGCCTGGCTGGAGTTTGAGAAGGGGACTCAGAGCTTGACGTTGTGTTGTCTGTCAGGGCAGGGGGTGTTGCTGTCTCCACTGCATCAGGTGCACTGGTCTTCTCCCCTCTACCCACCTCCTCCTCTCCTCGGGGGTGGCTCTCCAATGCAACTGCCACAGGCACTGGGACACTGTCCTCCTTTCCCGCCTCTCCTTCTGCTGGGGGCACATCTTCACTGACACTCACTGTCCCAACCTCAGTCCTCTTGGCTGGGTACTGCAGGTCTGGGCTAGGCCTACTGTCTGCTCTCCCACTCAGGCCCAGTTTGCCATGGTGCTGGGTGCATATAAAAGTGCCTGGCTCTGACCCAGGCTGGTAAGATCCAGGGACCAGCGTGCTGGAGCATTCCTTACATCTGCCAGCAAGAGAGAGAAAGAGGGAGAGACCCCATGAGAGGGAGCAGAGCTTTCTATAGGAAAAGCAGCCCTGAGGTTTCTGCACAAGACTAGTGCTTGATTCAATGATCAGCTCTGCCACAGATTGGGCAAGTCACCTCAGCTCTCTGTACCTTAGCTCGCAGCCCACTAAACAGGGAGAATAATCCCCCCCTTTCATTCATCTTTTGCCAAGTCCACATAGGCCTAAAGTCTCCTCAAAGACTGATTCTTGGTGCATGTTTGTCTCAAAGTGCTACTATAACGAATATAATTAACATTGAAGTCAGCCCTGTTCAGACTGGCAAGAGCAGACATATGCACAGACAATGTGAGCTCAAAAGAACCAACCTGCCACTCCCATGAAAGCTAAGCTAAATGCCTCCTGTCTGAGTGTTTGGTGTTAAAGGCAGCTGGCTGCATGATACCAGTATAAAAAATAATGAGCTGTCAGGGCACTTCAGGCTCTTGTACAGTGCTCCCATTTAATATTAGAAATGTTGAAATTAAGAGCAACAGCACAGAGAAAAGGGGAGCTATGGGGAAAGAGAAAGATGGTAAGTTTGGCCAAAAAAAGGGGGGCTCTTTTTACCCTGGTTAACCCAAAGAACTCCCTGCCACAGGGTATTACCGAGGCACAGATCTGAGAAGTCAGTAGAGGAGCTGTTAAGAATAAGCAAAGCATAAGGGAAAGCAGTATGGGATATATTTACAAGGGTATCTATCCTTAGTCTACTAGGTCTAAAATGGGATTGGAAAGTAATCCTGCCTCCCATCCCCCAAGCTGCATGGGGGAGTATATGAGAGAGGGTTTTTTTCCACTTCTACTCAAAACTCCAGTCATTAACTGCTCTGGGAGCCAGGATATCTGACCAGCTGCAGCGGTCTGCCCAAACACCCTGATAGTTCTGCTTCCCTCATCTGCATGAGAGTGAAGATGATGCCAACCTGGCTGCAGAATTTGCCAGTGGCTAGAGCCCCGTCAGATGGGGAAGGGCAGCTCACCCGCTGTGCTAGAGGGGACAGGATCAGTGCATGGCCCAGGGGTGGCTTACCTGAAGCACAGGCGGTGGTAGAGCCTGCCCTCCACCATATAGCGTTGGACGAGGTGGACGTGCTGCTGGCAGGCAGCACAGGTGCTGCTGAGTGTGGTGCGCTGGGATCTCTCTGCTAGGCCTTCAGCCGCATCATCCTGAAGTGGAACACACAGAGACATCAGAATGGTGGGGCTGCCCCCAAAGCCACTGGCCACTATGACCATGAGTGTCATGAGATCAGAAGCTATTTGGGACATGGACTGAGCGGAAGCTCAGCACTCAACCCATGGGCACTAGTCCCAGTTGGATCCCCAGACACTCCCACCAGTAAATCCCAAGGACAGAAATCAGCATCTAACAGCAAGCAGAGGAGTTGGACATGATAACCAGCAACATCCTCTGCCTCAGAGGCAGGTCCCAGCCCAAGACCATTCTCAACTCTGCTGAGAAGGGACCATATCCTCTGCCCAAACCCAGGACACAAAAGGGAGCCTCACCCCCATTCCATACCCTGTGCCCACTACAGGAGAGGAGGAGGAGGAGGAGGAGGAGAAGGAGGAGGAGGAAGTGAAGGGTCATGTCCAACCTCTACTTAATCATAGGGCTGTATCTAACACACTGTTCTATCCCACAGGTGGGATGTCCTCAACATCTGCTGAATCCTGAGGTAGAGCTAGAGGGATGGGAAAAGAAAAGGTATCCCACAGCTCTGTAGTTGTACCCTGCTGTCACACTGGCAGGGACCTCTGGGTTACCCTCCTCTTTTGACAAGTAATGCCTTGAGTCCTTGCATTCCCAAAGAAACATCTAGCACTGCCCATTTCACCCTCCTTGCCCTCAGCATCCACCTTTTTGACTGAACAAAATGCCTGAAGAGCAGCATTTCAGTCCCCAGACTCCTGGGAACAGAAGGTTTCCCCTGCTGGGCCCCTCTCCGAAAGAGCACTACACAAAAGAGCAACACGCAAATATCTGCCGCAATGTGTCCCAGCAAAGGAAAAAGAGTGCAGTAAACTCATCTCCTCAAGACATGCACTCTCTTGTGAACAGTTTAATAAAGAGAAATAACAGGGAAGATGGGGCTTTGAGTCAATATATTTAAGTACCTGAGGTGCTGGGGTGCTGTCAGCCACAGCCACGGGTTTCTTGTGAGCTGGCAGAGGGGGTGAAGAGGCAGCAGCTGGGCGCTTCATAGGTGGAGGGACTCTGCCTAGAAAGAGACACAGCAAAAAGGGAATCGGGCACTGACAAGAGGATGACTCATGCAAAGCATGTGGTGTGGGAAAATCACCAAGCCTCGTGACACAGGATGGGACCTCACTGCTTCTTACGCCTCAGTACCTATTCTAGGAGGGAGAGAGAGGTGTGAGCTACTGGTTTAGCCACGAGGCTGACAACTGGAAGCCCTGCATTCTTTTGGGGCTCTGGCTCAGGCCTGAGCAAATTGTTCCTCCTTCCCATGACTCATCTATAAAACAGGGATAACTAATGCTCCTTAGAGACCTTACAGAGTGTTGCAAAGATCAAGTGGAGAATGCTTAGAGCAAGAAAATAATTGGGAAGTGCTAGGCATTACTGTTACCCCACTGGACCTCCAGCTCCTGAGTGCTGACAGCAGGGCTCCAGGACATCCCTCCTGTTGCCAGGACATCATCTCACCAACACCTGGAGGGAGGGGAGCTCCTGCAGTCTGTTAATCCCTGGAGGGAGAGACACAGAGGCTCTCATGGGAAAGGCCAGTGTAAGGGTGTGTTATACAGAAGATGTCTTAGCATCAAGCTGACAAGGTTCTTTGCGTAAATCCAAGCTGCGTAAATCCAATCTTTTATTAGACCAACTCAAACAATTGGAAAAATTCTTCTTAGCAAGCTTTCGGGCACTAACACACTTCGTCAGGCTGAAGAAATGTTTCAAGCTGTAACTCAGGGGGTTAGGTATGGGGAAGTGATGTTGGGGAAAGGGAGCACAGGGAAGCCTCGATCCCAGAGCCATTCCAGGAAAGATGTTCTAAAGCAGGGAGTTAAAATCAGCCTGGGTTGGACCTCGACTGTGGGGACCCCTCTGCATTTGGGCAGCAACACAGGCCTGTTTGGACAGCAGTAGCAGCAGGGGTCCAGGGCCAGCTGAAGAAATTTGTACAGCCCTCGCTTACCCCCCCTGCCACCAATGGCCATATCCATCAGGGCCCAGAGACCCCAAATTCTGCAGCAGCAACACCTCACCAGCCTCACCCCCCAATTTCTGGCAGACTGCCAGACTACCAGCAGACTGGATAAAATGGTTCCATGGGCCTGATCCAACCTGTGAGCCATGTTTGACACCCCTGTTCAAAAGGGACTGCATCCCGGCCAGCAACCAGCACTGAGCGCCTCGTTATTCCAGATCCCTAAGCCCACAGCTTCTGTCTGACAGGATCACCAAGATCCAAGTGCCCTGCCCTATCCCCTGAAGCAGATCACCACCTGCAGTTCTGATTCTGATTCTGAAAAAAAGGTGGAAGCAAGTAACAATGCGAGTGCTCTCAAATTCCCACGTCGAGAATTGCCTGTCTGCCCTCTGAGCCACTGTTGGGGCTGGTTTCTGAAAATGGCGACTAACTTCATAAGGCCAAACTGTCCCCCCATCCCCCAAGTTGCTTCCTGCAGCAATACATGCCAAACAGAGAATAGGAAGCTCTAGGGTGGAACAGGAAGCTCTAAAGAGGTCACTGCCCTGGGGGGCAGGGATAGAACATGCTGCCATAGTAAGGCATGGCTGAATTTCCCTTCAGTGCCATGGCAGAGAGAGGAGAAAGAGGCTGGAGCACTCACCTGGGCTGGGGTTGTTGAAATAGTTGTAATACTGAGATACATAGGTCATGATGCTGAGGCAATCAGGGACCTTCATGGAGACCATATCATTGGGATCCAGCAGAGCCGGGATTCCCAGCTCCCGCTCCGCCACCTCAAAGGCCTGCAGGGGTTCCAGAGGGGGAGGAGAAGAAACAGAGGTCAGGCCAAGGCCCCTGGGAGAAAAGAGACTCCTGGACACAAGTGGAACTCCCACCTTGGAGCGCAGGAGCCAGGTGTAAGCCACAAGGTCACATACAGCAGGAAGCAAGAAATAGGCATAGTTAATACTGGGGCCCAACCAGTTTGTATAAACAAAGCTAAGGCAAAACAAACCCGGTAGCAACATCAAGGAGACTCCCACTCTATAGGCAGAGGCAGAGAAATGGACTATATAAGAGACAGGGTAAGAGTCTCACTGCAGGGAGCCAAAATCCTGAATGAGACCAAACGTGAGGCTGGGTTTTCCTTGTTGGGGGGAAGAAAGTGATGACTGGATGCCACCTAGGAAACTCAGCAGGTCCTGTGACTCATTTTTTGTTTAACTCAGCCTCAAGTGAGCTCTGATGATACATATCATTGTCTTTCCAGCTCTGCCTGGGGTGGTTTTGAAGTCCCTGTTCACAGATCAGATGTTCTCTGCTGACCTCAGCACTCCACCTTCACCTGTGTACTGTCCACACTTGCTTAGCAGCCACAAGAGAATTCAAGTACATTCCACCATTAACCCACAGAGCCAAATAAGCACATTCCTCCTAGCACAGAGAGCACCAGACACCTGGCTGGCTGGGATAATGGGGTGGGAAAGAAGGGCAGTAAGAGACCACAGCCTGATCAAAATGGTATGGTCCCCACTCAGTGCTCAGGACTGTTCCAAGGAGGGCATGCGACTTGGGACCACTGCTTCACCAAGAATCACATCCGGACTGGCTGCTCTATGACTAACTATATTTCACCACTGAGTCCATCAATTCACCAGATACTGCCTTGGCCTCATGGCCACCCATTGCTTAGACTCCTCCTGCCCTCTGGATCATCGATTCTCAGGGAATCGTGCCCATCCCAAGTGGGCTACATCACTAGGAAACACCAATTCAGCTGGTATTTGCTAGAATAGAGGAGACATTGGGGGTTCACCATCAAAATCACCCTGGGGAGAAATCCAGCTCTCTGGCCACCAGCTGCCAGGGACAGCACTGGGACTGCAACTAGAGTGTAGTATGAGGAACATGACTAGAACCTCCATCTTTCAGATCAGCACCTGGCATGCAGGCTATCTGATGCATTTAAGCTTCTCCCTCCACCACACCTGGAACTACTGGGAGCTACGTGCTGCCCTTCCCTCCCACCTTCATTTATCCACCTCTGGAGCCTTTCCCTTAATCTCTAGCATACCCAAGACTCCTTGATCTTGTTAGCAGGGCAACGAAAGAGGTCACATCTGCTCTCCTCTATTTCAAGTCTTTGGTTTTTTGGGTGCCTCCTGCCCTATGAATAACTCCAGTACCTGCTTCTGCTGATGATAGCAGCTTTTCCCAGCACCAGCAGGAGTGACATGAAATGGGTATGACTTGTAGCAGCTTGACCTCTACCCATACCTGGAATCTCACTGGTTTCTTTCTGCAGATGTTTGTTAAAGCTTAGAACTGGAAATGTGGAGGCACTGGTGGTGCCAGGAAGATGCTACAACAATTTAGTTATTTTCCACTTGGAAAGTTAGAATCTAATATTGTCTTTGTTGTGGGCTCAGACTGCATGGGAGATGCTGTGGAGAGGTTTCTCATTCACACAGGAATGCATCTGCCTTCCCCAGAGTTAATGTTTTTTTCTAGCCTCATCATTGCTACCCTAACCCCCACTCCTAGACTTCCTGCTCTGCTAGCAACGTGTGACTTAGCACATTATTTCCCATGTCCAAGACTTCCTCTTTCCCCAGTGCATGGCATCACAGGCACTCACCAGGCGGTTGTTCTCATAGACATTCTCCTTGGAGAGCGAATCAAAGTCTCTGAAACAAGAAAACAGAAGGGTGACAGGGGGAAGTGGAGAGATAGCTATGAAAGACACTGCTATCATGTTGGCAGGACCAGTGGCAGCACTTCAGTAACTAAAAGCATAATTCCCAGACAAACAGAACCTTTGTTAAAGCAGATTTAAGGCTGTAAACAGGGAGAGAACCCATAAGAGGATTTTCTCATTTAAAAACAAGCCTGCAGGGCTAAAGGCCAGGAATTACAAACTATATTAGTATCATATTATTTGTATTCCAGCAGTGCCTAAAGGCTTCTGCTGAAGAGGATGTAAGAGCACCAATCACCCTACACCTCACCACTTGGAACTCCCCCTGATAACACACCTCTGCCCACATATCCCCAAATCCCCCATTCCCTCCAGGCACCTACAGTGAAAGGCAGACACTCATTTCTAACAAAATACATTAGAACCACAGCTAGATGACAGGCTAAACCCTGGATGCCTTTCTGGCTCAGCCAAGAATCTTGGCAGCTAGAGACCAGCTCTGATCCCCAATACACTCAGGGATTTCACCTGTCGCTTCAGGACTTGCGACCAGTGCAAAGTGCAAGCAGCCTGCTTGCAAGGGCTTGAAATATCCATTGCCAAAGGGGGCCCAATCAGTGCAGAGCACAAAAGGTAAAAGACCTTGCAATATTTTCAGCACCTGGCATGAGGGAACTACTGAGAAGTTGGATACGTTTGTGGTGTAGAACAGGATGTGCCATGGCAGGCTGCACATGCCGTGCCTTCCAGTCTCTGACTTGGACATTCTTTCTAAAGGGATGCATTTACCACCACAGCACACCTCTGGAGTAGATGCACCATATCCCCATTTCACAAATAATGGTACAAGCCTAAAGAGACTCAGGGTCTACAGCTCTCACTCACACAAAGCATTTGCTTGAATCCAAGAGGCGGCCAGCTGCCTGTCTTTACATGAAATCTGTCTGACAAAAATTTCCTCACCCCTGGCATCACCTCAGCTGTTCAGCAAACCCAATGGGTTTACTCATGGCATGGGGTAAGGCACTCCTCACTACTCCATATGAGAAAGGCAGACAAGAACATGCCTCTAACAGGGCAGGTCCATGTTGACCGACATCCACATGCCTCATGGCACAGCCTACAAAAGCCCATGCCATGCAGCTTGCCTTTCCCACACCAGTGGGTTGTTTTGCAACACCTGCTAGACCTGTCTACATTGCACTTCTTGGAACTTGCAGCCAGCACCATGATCTCTGCCAGGTTCCCTTCCACCATGCAGAGCAGAGCACTTCTACGAACTGGTAAGACAACATGGACAACACATAGGGTCTGTACATAGGGAACAGGAGGAAAACGAATGGGAGTGTGGGGCCACTGCTCAACAAATCAGGAGAGCTGGTTACTGGTACCCAGGAGAAAGCTGAACTCCTGAATGACTACTTTGCCTCGGTCTGTCACTGGACCAAGGGGAAAAACCATGCCAGGCAGAGTAGAGGATGAGCATGATAGACATAATTGCCTTCCTACTATTGCCATAGAATTGGTGTATGACCAATTAAAAAAATTAGACATATACAAGTCAGCAGGACCAGATGATCTTCATCCAAGGGTGCTGAAGGAACTGGCTGAAGTCATTGTGGAACCCCTGGCGAAACTCTTCCACAACTCATGGCACTCTGGAGAAGGCCATGAGGACTGGAAAAAGGCCAATGTTGTGCCCATCCACGAGAAGGGCAGGAGGGAGGACCCGGGTAACTATAGGCCAATCAACCTAACTTCTACCCTAGGGAAAATCATAGAAATGTTCATCAAGGAGTCTATCTGCAATGAACTTGCAGAAGGGAATATTCTGAATAACAGCCAGCATGGCTTCATCGTGAGCAGGTCTTGCCTTACCAACCTCATTCTCCTTCTATGACCAGGTAACTCGTCACCTGGACACGAGAGAACACGTTGACATTGTATACCTTGACTTCCAAAAGGCCTTTGATCTAGTACCTCACAATGTCCTCACTAGGAAAATTGGAGGATTGGGGGCTTAACTCCAAGACAGTCAGGTGGGTGAGAAACTGGCTCCAGAATAGAACCCAGAGAGTTGTAGTGAACGGATCTGTGTCATCCTGGCAAGAAGCAGGCAGAGGTGTCCCACAGGGGTCTGTGCTCAGTCCAGTACTTTTCAACATCTTTATTAACGATTTGGATGTGGGGGTGAAGGGCTTACTGGCCAAGTTTGTGGATGACACCAAGTTATGGAGAAGCGTGGTCACACTTGAAGATAGGCTACAGATACAGGTGGATCTAGACAGGCTAGCAAGTTGGGCGTATCAGAACCTAATGAAGTTCAATGTTGAGAAATGTAAAGTGCTCCACCTTGGGACGAGCCACCCACAACACACCTACAGGCTTTGCAGCACCAAACTGACTAGCACCACAAATGAAAGGGACCCGAGTGTAATAACAGACCACAGTATGAGTATGAACCATCAGTGCGATGCTGTAGCCAGCAGGGCAAATAATACTCTGGCATGCATCAATTGATGCATCTCCAGCAAAACCAAGGAGGTGATTCTTCCATTCTACTCAGCATTGGTGAGACCGCAGCTGGAGTACTGCGTTCAGTTCTGGGCACCACACTTTAACAAGGATGTGGACAAGCTTGAGAGAGTCCAAAGAAGAGCCACCCATATGATCAGAGTCTTAAAAGGCAAGCCATACGAGGAAAGGCTGAGGGATCTGGGACTCTTCAGCCTGAAGAAAAGAAGGCTGAGAGGGGACCTGGTAGTAGCTTACCACTACACTAGGGGAGTATATCAAGGCCTTAGTAAGCAACTGTTCACCAGGGCACCTGAGGGGAAAACCAGGAGTAATGGCCACAAACTCCTGGAAGATCAGTTCAGGCTCAACATTAGGAAAAACTTCTTCATAGTCAGGGTGTCCAGACTGTGAAATAAGCTCCCTCCAGAGGTGGTGCAATCACCTACCCTGGAAATCTTCAAGAGGAGACTAGAGAGTCACCTTGATGGGATCACCTGACCCCCAGTTATCTTTCCTGCTTGGTGCAGGGGGCTGGACCCAATGATCTTCTGAGGTCTCTTCCGGCCTTACAATCTATGAACACCTTTCCTCAGAAGCCTCAAGTGATTTTAACAAATCCAACTCCTGACTCCGCATGGCTATAGTGCTTCTTTTTTAAAGGAAGATGCTAATGTCACTGTGTCCTCACAGACGAGAGGAACTGGAAACTAGTCTCCGAGGGAAGACAGTTTGCATGTTGAGTGTTCCTTGTCCCTCAATTGTAACTTTATTTTTGAACCCAGTGGATTATAGAGGTTTGCGTGTTTGTTTGTTTTAAAGGCAAAGTTACATTATGGACTTTTTCCTCTCAACTATTTTGCCATCTAAACTTAAAAGCTTTACTTGGCTTGTTTGTTTTTACAGAAAGAGTAGCTCAGGAATACAAAAGGGGTGAGAGCAGAGCTAACGCCCATTTTGGGGATAGGTTCACTCTTCATCTTCCTTCAAAAAAAATTAAAAATGGTAACCTTCATTTTGAGTGTCCCAGCTTTAAATGTACATGACAGGCTTAACTGGAGCTAGGAAGCTCCTCCCTGGTCAGTGCTAGGGCTGCTACCTTACAGCCAGACTAAATGCAAGGAAATCACACTCCCACCCCTAATTTCTCCCACCAACCCAAAGCCATTTTATTAAGCTACCTCAAGTCCCTGCGCCTGGGTGGAAGGCAGGGGATGTGATGTGAACCTGGGAAGAAGATGGTGAGTGTTACTATGTGATGGGGTGTGTGAGGACACATGGGTGGTAAAGCAGGGTAGAAGTTTCTCAATGTGGGTTGCAAAGAACAAATCCCACCTGGTTATGCCCCACAGGTCTGCATGAGTTAGCCCCACACCCACCTCTTTCCTCTTCTTCACACTCCCTTATATTGTTCTACATTAACACAGCACTTGGGCCCCAGGATGCCAGGTTCTGCTTATCAGTGCACATGGCAGTCCCCAGGGAGGGGTAAGACACAAGAATTAGGAGCTGGGGCATGACAACGCTTTTAGATACTACTGCTCATCCCCATGAAAATATCCCCTTAATCGTTGCTTGGCGCCTCCTCTACTAAGAGATTAGAGCTTAAACTTTTCTAACTACCCAACATCTGGCTAAACACCACTGAACTACTTTGGCATCAGCCCAGCGCATTCCTATAAAACCCAATTTATGCTAAACGCTGTCCTGATGAAGCATCAGCTTTACCATTCCCCATTATTAAATCAGATCCCTTGAAGACATCCCAAGAGAACAACTGTCCTGATTCAGCATCTAAGCAGAAAACGCCAGGGTAATAATTTCCATGGATATAGCAGCCGTCATCCCAAATTGCTTTGTTAATTGGATCCATGCAGTACCGCTGAAGAGTAGCAGCCATGGCCTCAGAGGCTCAGGGCAACTGCCAAGGAGTGCACACGATTCTGTGAGGGAGAGGCATTTTCTATAAACCCAAGGACAAATTCATATGCGCTTGTAAAATGCATCATGGGCTTTTTAATAGCCATACATTGCAGGGAGGCCTTTGGTTGCCTGAAAAAGCCACCCAGAGAAGAGTCTGGAAAGCTGCTGTGTTGGGGGGGGGGGGGTCTTGACTTGACCTTGCCTAGATTTGAACCTGGGATCTGAGGCAGACTCAGGCTTTCAGATCCAATGCCATTACTTGTGTATGTGTTTGTTCTCATTTTCTTTGTACAACTATTTTTCTTTCTCCAATTTTGTCACTATTCTTACCCACTTCTAACCCAGCCCCTGCCCAGCTTTGTGGAAGGCAGCAATGCTAGGACACAGGAAAGAATGTTGGTTCTTCCCTGGCTGAGAAGTGCTGCTTCATGCTTCACCACACTACAAGGGGTGCTTAATAAACACATGCATTATGCTTTGAATATCCAAAGCTTTGTACAAACACAAGCTAACATATCCTCACAACCCTCAATAAAGCAGGCCTGAATATATTCATCTGACAGATGGGGATGGGAAAAATTTAAGTGTCTCATCCAACGTCATGGAGTTTGAGGCAGTCAGGAGCTGAGCCCAGATCTCCTGAGTCAAACCTAGAACAGTGCCACAGCCAAGAGTGTCTTGGTGTCCCCATTTTAGAGAGGGAAACTGAGGCATGGATAAATTGAGTGACTTGCTGAGTTAGAACTAAGATTAGAATCCAGATCTCCAGGCTCCTATTTCCTGAGAGGAGGTCTTGTGGCTGTCTACAAATTCATCGGGGGGGAGGGGCAGCAAGGAATGGGGGATACCCTGTTTACCAGAGTGTCCCTTGGGGTTACTAAGAACAACGGCCATAAACTGATGGGGAGCAGATTTAGATTAGATATTAGGAAAAATTTCTTTACAGTGAGGGTTGCCAACATCTGGAACGGGCTTCCAAGGGAGGTGGTGCTCTCCCCTACCTTGGAGGTCTTTAAGAGGAGGCTAGACAAGCACCTAGCTGGGGCACCTGATTCTGGCACTTTTTCCTGCCCAGGGCAGGGAGTCAAACTCGATGATCTACTGATGTCCCTTCTGACCCTAAAAATCTATGAAATCTATCCCCATGTCTAATCTGCCAGACCCCATTGCACAGGCTTGTATTTTCAGAAGTTGGTACCCAAGATCAGTGGCCAACCTGAGGAGCCTTCATCCTGATTTCAGGGCTGCTGAGCACCTACAGTTCCCACCACTTCCAGGAAAGCAATTGCCTAAAACTTTCTGTTCATACACAGCATTAAAGTCCCATCTGTGTAACATCACATCGAGCTAGGCCTGACAGAGTCAAGAGGGTTAAAAATGCAGTTACCGAAGAAATCAAATTCGTCTTCAACTATAGGAAAAAACTATAGTCTCTCACTAAGTTCATGGAGGGGACTACATCACCTTCCCCTGAAAGCTTCTCCCTCATACAGGAAGAATCTTGAATAGCAATGTGGCTATTTGGGGTGGAGCACTTCGAAGCTCCCTGTAATAGGGGCATCCAGACATGACACATGCCAAATGCTTTACAAATAATGAATATGCACCACCTGGGAGAGTCTGGCAGCAGGAGAAGCCTTTCACAGCAGGGTGGTGGATTAGCGTGATTACAGAGCGGTGAAGTCTATGACCAAGCTCCACTCCAGCTGCTTCACCCTGATGGAGCCAGAAGAGGGGTGATGCCAAGGGGTCATAAGAGCACTTGAACATGTATATCTCTTCTTTGGTTTGTGCTGCTGAGATCAGCGTGATTGTTTCCGACTGGCTGGAATGACAAATCATA